TGCATAGGCTTAAAAGGTCAGGATAATGGTCGTATGATTTAAGGGCCCGACGGATATGGGACTTTTGGGGCTGATACCGATATAGGAAGAGAAATATCAGGTGATTTCTTTCTTAGATCTATCATCAATCTTAAATCTTTAAAAATAGATAGATATAGATATACACATGTTTTTGCGTTTATCCGTCAAGTGCAGTTATCAAACACTTGTTGAAAAGATATGTAAAGAAAAGACGGTTGCTCAACCCGGAAAGAAAGCTAGTTGTAATCCATACTGCTGGGGACATCCATAAAGAGAACTGCTAGTGTAAACAATGACACTCAAATTAAATGCTTTTTGACTGGTGAATAAATCTAGAAATATCTGTGCGTATCAGAGATAAAATCACCGATACAGATATTCACTTCATATGCTAATATCGGCCGATATTATCTGCTGGCCGATGAATCGGTCAGGCTCTAGTAGCCTATTATTCCCCCAAAAAGTGAGAGGTTACCATACTTTTGGAGAAGGCTTTGACTCTTATACAGACCGTGTGGACAGCAGAGTCTCACTCAGTGGAGACAAGTTCTACCACAAGTTTAATGGCTGTGTTGTGTTTAATTGCATTTGCATCTTGTAACTTTAAGGAGTTATTTCGCCTCAAGTTTGGCAACATCAGCAGAATCAGTAAAGGTAAAGTAATGAAGCTCCATGACTTACTACAACGTATGTCTGTCACTGTGCACTTTCAGACAGCATGTTCTTTAACATCACCGCTCATGAAGACCTCTGCTCTGCTGTGAGGTCAACGTGACCAGGGATCCGGCTGTGGTTTTGTCCATTTATCACGAGGGTTCCAAACTGGAAACTGGTGACTCTGCTCCAGAAGAAGCTGCTGCAGCTCTGCCCTACGTCACACTCTCCAAGAGCGTACATGTGAGGGGCGGTGGAAACTATGAGTGTCAGCTGCACCTGAATGCAGATCTGATAACTAATAGCAGCTTCCAATATAATCCATCGGGTAAATATCTCTCTCCTGATCTGCACTGGTTATCTATGCATGCACATGCCTACTCTTCAAACGGGAAAAAGAAAATATGATTCATTTAAAACAATCCGACGGTATCCGACAGTTTTGCTAAGCATTTAATTATCCTTTCTGCTGTATGTGAAAAACCCACACTGCAGATCAGTAAGGAAAACACTGTCCAGGAAAAATAAAGGGGGGGGGGGGGGTTTCAAACTACAAACACTTTGGAGTATATAATCCTATGTGTTCTGGCTCAGAACTTCATATTTTCACATTTATTTAAATATTTTTGCATGGACCTAAATGTGGATTCTGCTACCTGTCACATACAGAAGCAGACTATTAAGAGGGAATCTTTTAAGGGCCGGTATGAAGAGGAAAAGGGCACTGGAGAATTGTTTAAAGACATGAAGAAATGAAGGGCTCATCTCTTTGTTCCCTCGGTGGTTTTCCCCCAAATTAGGCCCCTTCATGTTCCCTCAGGCCTGAATTCCCCCCATCATCAGGGCCCTTCTATAACACACATAACGTGTTTTTATCACAAACACAGATTTTGTCTTTGTCTTGAGAAGATCTGTTAATACTGTCCCCAAGATCCTAAAATAACTTCCTTGAATAAGTGAAAGTTTTGAAGGGCTGTTTTGAATTGATTTAAAGTTGGTCTTTAACAAACTGAATGACCTGAAAGCAGTTAAGCAGATTAACCAAAGCCATAAATGCCTTGTATGGAAACATTTACTTTGCCTGTTTGGTGGGTGAAGAGGTTCAGTCTGATGTGTCAAACATGCCCTGCAGGCCCCCACACTTCAACTTAATTTAGATAAATTCTCTTTTTTTCTTTTTCCATCATCAACTGAAGAATCCCAAGGTGCTAATAACACTGTTTCAGTTTCAGTGTTACCAACGGCCGCTGATTAGACTCTCTTACACAAGCGCTCACTTTCCTGTTGTTTAAGTAAAATGTTTCACATTCACTCTTTAAGGATGAAGTAGCACAAAAAGTCAAGACATTTGGAAAACTAACTGTTCAATGATTGCAGGTCCGATCAGTGTTTCTTTGGTTTCTGTTCCAGGTGTAGAGGTGTTTCCAGAGCCATGGCCCCTGTATGGTTCTCTCCTCCTGGTGCCCATCACCGTCCTGCTGGGACTCATAATTGTACAGAAGTGCAGAAGCTGAGTTTGTCAACATCTGGCTGGAATAGAGAGACTACGTTGTTGATATCTATGATAGAGGATTCACTTTCCATCAGAAAAAAAAGTCACCCTCAGCTTCCTCATTCATCTGAAATGTGTTCTTCTGCTTCTGTTTTTTTAACTCTATCTCCATCTAATGGTGGCCAAGTGTCACTGCACAACAGGGCCATCACTGATATTGAAAGAATCTGCTTTATACGTGTTCTCAAACACTGAATTACATAGTATTTTAACAGCACGGACACAGGAATACACATCAAAGCTTTAACTGTATGGAAGCCCTAAACGGGTAGGCATCAATACATCGAATTCAACTCCATTTTTTTGGTTGTTGTCTCAAGATCGCAATTTATTTGTTTCATCATAACAGGCACCTGGAAACCAACATTGGTCTGCTGAAATAACTAGATAAATAAGACAAGAAATAAATCTTAATGTATTCGTCAGCAAAGGATAAAAGATTCAAATAAAATGTACTGATGCATGTCTGTCCCGATAGGTAAGGACTACTAAGCTAACACATAAAGAAAGGGTAGAAAGGACAGTGCACAGTATGTGAACCATTGTAGGCTTTTAACCTATCAAAACTACTGTGTGATTTTAACCATTTGACAACTAGTGATCACATGACTAGAGTAGTCAAAATGTCTCATATGTCATTGCATCAAACTTTTATGTCTTTTGTAAACTTTAGATACTTGAGAAGCTATGATTGATCAGAAACAAAAAGATTGATAAAAACAAGTTTGTCGTCAATGTGTCTACTTCAAGGAGCGATATTCATCCTAACTTGTTGCTCTGATCGAATTGAATCCACATATTTAGAAAAATTGAAAGGGATGTTGGTGGAATTAGGGACAGAAGGGTCATTCACACTTTAGCACACAGATACATGTACACACAAGCAAACACAGTCAGTGAACGATGCATTTTCAAGGACCCACACAGGGATGCAATCAGCACAGTAATCCTCACTACTGGCATAATGAAATGGCCAAGGGATCAGCAAACACACACACCCAAACATACGCACACACACACACACACACACACACACACACACACACACACACACACACACACACACACACACACACGGAGGACAGTTTCCCCTCTGAGCTGAGTCAGAGGAAAAAGGCATCACACCTGTCATCAGGTTACATGTGGATTTAAAAACAATGGCATTTAGTGGATGAGCTTTTTCTCAAGAAGTGAAAGTACAGCAAACTATAATGTACCTCACTGAAATTAAAGTTTTCTATCACTGTGTCTTATTTACAGCTAAAAAAAAAAAGATTCAAAGATAACGTAACTTTAAGAACATACTTTTAAGAGTAAAAAAACGAACCAAAGAAAGTAACTTCTCATGCTAGAAAAAATGGCTACAATAAACACTGAGAAGTTACTTTATTTGATTTGTTTTATTACTCATATGTTCTTCAAGTTACATTATCTTTTGTTATCATTTAGTCATTTTTAACTGTGACTACAATCATTGGTCACTAAAGAAAGGTAAGGTTTGACATAACAACAATGCACAGTGTGAAAGACTTGATTGTTTTATCTATGGCTTGCTCCTCTTTGAACCCACCACATACAACACCTTCTATGTAGTTAGGGCTATATATGCATTTGTAATGATTGTACATTTGACTTTTTTATGTCTCACTTCTGACTTTAATTGTTTTACACTTTGTTATTTTAGAATTGTATTTACATCAATCTTGCAATTTCAACACATGTATTGCCGGCGTCATCGTCCAATAAGCCTTTAAATCTTGTATCGTGTGTTTGTTTTTGACAGTTTTGGACTGTGTGTTTTGACTTTTCTTTTTGATTTTTTCTTGGATTCCATCAGTCATGCTGATCCAAGCAAACCAAAACATGAAAAAAATCTATAAAACATGTTGTAGTTTTTCTGTTATATCAATGACAACACTGTTTTCTTCGCAAACACGTGGGTTTTTTTTTTAAGGATAAAAACATTACATAAAATCACTGTTGCCATAACAACGTCTCTATACTTCCTTCACTCCTCCTCCTCCTCCTCTCTCTCTCTCCATCCCTCTGTTGCAATGCATCACACGCTACCTCCTCCTCCTCCTCCTCCTCCTCCTGCATGCACGTCCCTCATCCAGCCGTCATCCATCCTTAAGACTGATGAGCGCAGCATCCTCGCGCGGACACACGTCATTTCTGGAGGTTTCTGTTTTCGTGTGCGCGCGCGTCCCTCCACGTTTTTTTCAACTTTTGACTCCTCGATCAATGCTTCTCCAGGAGGAATACGCGGGTCATTACCGGTCACTTTACCGACAACTATAACACCAAGGAGGAGGGTATCTGTGTTTTAATTGTATTTTCTTGGTGCCGTGTGTTGACCCTAAAAATCTCTCTAATGGTTCCCCGATGTGAGAGAAGAGGCTAACCCAGGATCTGACAGCCTGAAGCGGGATGGAAACCGTCCACCTTTAACCCATCATCAAGGCGACATGTTTTAAAGGGTACTGGTGACGGAAAACGCTTTATTTTGTTGGCAACAGGTAAAAAGGACGCTAAGGTGCTGCGCTCGGTGATGCGTTTATGGGCAGGGTGCATCTTGCGAAATCACTAATTCCAAATTTTGTTGTCAAAAATATTCGCATCCTGCATTAGGCCTAATTCTGGAACTTTTCTGGAATGCACAAAAGAAGAGCGCACTTTTTTTTTTTTTTTAGCCTCATCAGGCGCACAGAAAGCAGGCTGCAGTGTAAATAAAGCACACCCTTCAATGCATGCCTTTAAGTCCTGTTAAAGACTTGCGTCATGTGGTGGTGACCCATCTGAGCACTAGAGCCACCTGTGCAGCTGAGAGCCCCACGTGCAAACAGCAGCTTTACAAAATCACAGATGGTTTATGCGATGTGTGAACAATGCGGATGATTTTGCTTGAATAAATCAAAAGCAACCAGACTTTGGGCTAGATCACAGCCCTCCTGGGTTATCTGAGGAGATATGTAGGAGAGAACTGTGACTGCAGAAAGAAAGCCATAACACTGATACGAGGCAATAATAATACAAAATGAAATTTCTTCCAAAGCCAAAGAGAGGTGGGACAAAGCAAGAGGAGTTTTCCACACTGCTTCCATTTTTTCCATTTCACTCACACTGTGACTCTACCAAACACTGACCCTCCTTTTTGCCCTGGTCGTGCCTGCAGACAGGCATGAGGGAAAAAGTCTAACATTTCTTATCGAGGCATTCATGCTTGCATTATTTTGACATTTGACTTTTTCGCACAATCACTCCAGCTCTTTGCTTCTTTAGATCACTTTAGATCAGATCAACCTGAGATATCTGTCTTCCATTCAAGATAGTGGAGCACACAAAGTCTCATTGTCGAGCCAAACAGGTGTAAGCAGGTCTCAGGGTGTGCCACACAGTATAAATAGTTGAACAAAGGCCCATTTTGGATTGACAAGAGGTCGAAACCTGACACTAGGAGTGATTCCACCCTGTGGAAACTCTACACGCACAGGGAGGCTGGACAGAAAAACAACATTTAGATTCTGAGAGGGTAAAGAGAAGAGGAACACTGTTGCTTCCACTACTGCTCCAGCTGGATTTTCAAGTAGGAGACAGCAAGAAGACCCACCCACAGCTCCGTCCAGCTTTTATATCAGCTGGAAAAAAAAAGGAGGAGAAGAAGACAAGAAGGCGGACCACACCCAGAGTCCCAGCAGTCTCCTCCTCTCACCCTTCGGAGTTTTAATCCAGGACATCTCTGACATCTTAGTGCCGGAATAGCTGCCGTGTTGCTCAGCCTTGTGTGTCCTATTCCGAAGTGTGCATGTATGAGTGTGCGTGTGTGCGTGTGTGTGTGTCTGAGTGAGAGAGAGTGAGTGTATGAGAGGTGTGTTTTGACGCCGCTTAAGAGGCACCACCAGTCTTCTTTCTCCTGTCAGGATGCCTGCACTAAAGGACCTGATGCTGCTGCTGCTGTTACCTCTGGCCTTCCTGGCACTCCAAGGTGAGTGGGCAGCGGCTGTGTTGCCATGGCAACGCCGCGATGGCAACACCTTGGCATGCATGAGAGCCACCATGTAATCCCCCCCCCCCCCATCCACTGACTGTGAAGTTTGTTAGTGAAGCTATGGTGTTTTCTGTTCCTTTTCTGATGTTTCCATCCCTCTATGTGCTGTCTGTTGTTAGGCTTTATGTTGTGTTTATGTTTGTGTGTGTGTGTGTGTGTGTGTGTGTGTGTGTGTGTGTGTGTGTGTGTGTTTGGCGCTGCACATGTGTGAGTGAGTTTTTTTTTGGATTCCATTATTGTGCTGCTAAAAGCCCAGATGTTCAGGTTTTTTTTAATTTTTCAGAGTAATGAGATGAGGCCATGTGGCTGTGTTTTTAGTTGATGGCAAACAAACACACACACATAACACATAAGCTGTGGTGTATTCAAAGCTCCAGAGCAATGTGAGTTATGCATTTGTCCCTGTGTGTTACTTTTGGACATACCGAGTTCCTCTTGAAGTGGAGTTCTTGTTATGTTTTTCAGCACAGGGCTAAGACTGATAACATGATTAATAAGCCATTGTCCTTCTGAATTTAACAGTTTTGTCAGTAACATATCTAATCACCATCAACCAAAAGAGCTTCAGTTAACGATGATAAAACTGCAGCAAATGCTCTCATTGGATGAGCAGGGTATTATATTTAAAAAAATGTGTGACATTGCATGAAAAAAACTAGTTAATGGATCGTGACAAAAAGACAATACTTTAATTAATCTGCATGGATTCATCGATAACTCTCTATCAGGGGAAGTCTCAGTGATTTTTGACGAGATTTCAACACAGTGATGAAGTTGAAGTTGTTGGTTATGTTCCTGTTTTTTTAACCTCTTAAATTTGATAATAGCTTTTAATAATCTTTTTGAAGAAATGCAGCTCAAAGCCTTTACCTTTACAATAAGCTAACATAAAGCCAGACTGAACAGATAATAAGGGCAAAATCAAGATAATGATCCTGTAAGTCTGGATGCTGTTCATTAATCTGTACATGTGCTGCAAGACATTCAGCTTGCTGCAGCTGGTGTGTTTCACTTGTCAGGTCTCTGCTGTATGTGCAGCCTATATACTTCTACAGCCCCGCAAAGCTAGACTCAAGACAATGTTTTTAAAAGACAAAATGTACCCCCCCCCCCCCCCCTCCTCCTCCTCCTCCTGATGGCATCTGTATCACATCTCAATTCCCACCTTCACAAGAAGCCATTTGCTGCCATTCTACTTTTATGGCATGAAAAACACCCCCAAGTGAGATGAACCCCCCCCCCGAGTGACGCTCTGTAATCCATCATCTTTTAAATTACTGTCGGTCTAACCAGGAGGAGAAGCCGCTCTGCACTGAAATCATCTTTCAGCTTCCTGTCAGAAACTTACGATCACGGCCGCGTCTCTTTATTTATGACCTCGAGGTTTATTTGATAAAACATGTCTTAATTAAGAACAGCTCAACCGGTAAGCACGTAAAATAACTGTGAGTGATTTTAAACAAGATACAGGTATGGCCTAGGACAAATATGGCCTAGAATCAAAGATGCATTTTTAGATCTGTGTTGGTTTTACAATTCCAAATACAACAATTACAATTCACTTAGCAGACGCTTTTATCCAAAGCGACGTACATCAGAGAGTAAGTACAACACTAATCCATTCATACACTCAACCTTTCGGTTGAAAGGCGATGACTCTACCAACTGAGCCACAGCTGCCCACTGGTTTTAAACTAACCAAAGTTAAAACAAAACTGGGGGTTTAAAAGTGGCTACAAATAGGAAGCAATGCATAAAAAAAAAAAGAGATAAACTGAGCATTTAACAGTTAGCCAGCACATCTAACCTCACATACAGACACATGGTTTTGTAATTCCTCTAAATGAATTAACAAAATAAATCAAGGGTATTAAGTGGAAAGAAGCAGGCAGAGGAGGCAGATTTTCAAAACTGCCAAAGGTAATGAAAACTTAAAGTTGAGAAATCTAAAGTTGGTTGCGGGGACAGCAGGTCAGTTGAGGACTGAAGAGAGTAAAAACATCTGGAGCTGGACGCAGCGGGGATGAGGATAGAAGTAGAGACAGGAAATTGGATAAAATCGCTTTTAAAAAAGAGAGCGCAAGAACAGATTGAGCTTGATAAAAAAAAATTACAGTTTGTGCTATTTTTGTTTTCAAATGCGGATCATCGTTTGCTAAAAATAAAACAGAAGTTCAACAAGTTGCTGGAAAGTAGCAAATCTACAAAAGAAGACGACAAACCCCGAGTTAAATGTTAACGCTCTGTCACTCTAAGCTCTCTCTAAATTCAGTTCGAAGACACTGTAGTGGAAAGATTCGATCAGATGGAGAAGAAATGTGAGGAGAAAAAAAAGAACAGCCTGACCCCAAAAACATTCAAATACACAGATCAGCAGAAATGAATCCTTAGATCTCATTAAAACTTTGTATAACAAACATTTGGATTAGCATGAGGAAACCTGCAGAGTTTGTCACTTTTCAGTTGGTAAATGGACTTGAACTTGGATAGCGCTTTTCTAGTCTTCTGACCAATCAAAGCACTTTTACACCGCAGGTCACACCTACACATTCACATCCTGATGGCAGAGGTTGCTAAGTAACGTATCCATCAACGTGAACTAATCCATTCATGCACATGTGCCCAGCAGTGGGAGCAGCTAGGGTTTTAGAAACAAACTGATACTCAGCCATGAGCAGGTTTATATGTGACTTGTCTCTAAAGACAAATGTCTGTTTATGAATCCAGGATCTGTAGGCAAGAGACAAGATTTGTGTTTACGTTTACAGTTTGTATTCAGAAATGAATTGACCAATCACGTTTCAGCAGGAAGTATGCAGTATGCATGCAGTATCACAGTCTGTGAGGAGAGCAAAATAAATAAATAAATAGGCTGGAATGCGATCTAATAACTTTTTGCAAATGCCGGATCTTGATTTAGATGATTTATTAATTGATGTAAACAGATGTAACATATTGAAGACAGATACAAATCTGCTCTCAGACGTCTTATCTCAACTTCAACGGCATTTTCTGTCTGAAGTTGCTTGTCAGACGGGACACAAAGACTAATGCACGGAAGTAGAAAGTATTTGCCAAGATCTATAAATCTATTGGTTAAACATGAAGCCCAAAATGCTAAATAGTCATCGGATGATAGTCGATTGCTTCCAAGACAAATGTGTGATGAACCAAACAGTGAAAAGAGCTCAGACAACTTCATGAATACTTTGATTTAAAATGCACAAAGGAGTGCTTTTTCCTTTCATAACATTTTCAGGATAATCAAAATGATCGCTCTGTGTGACATTTTAAAAAGGTTAAATAGGGGGTCCAGTTTTAGTTGTTTTGAAAGATGACAAAGAGCAGGAAGTAAGCTGACGGAGTCGTGTCGTTTCTTTAAAGCTTGACCAGAGGCTCACAGAGCCTAATGCATCTGACGGTCACATTAACTAATGCAGCAGCAGAGAGACGATTTGTATCTGCAGTCACAGCACGCAGCCATTTAGTCTGCAAACGGTCTCGAGCTCGTTTCTTATGGTCAGAGGAGATTGCTGTAAACAGGATGTTTGAACAACCACACAATCTCCATCCGCCCCGAGCCATTTAGACATCACGTCCACTCCATCACTCCACCCTGACCACAGCGTCTGCACGGATTGAGAATCACATTATGGAGAAGCTCATCATGCTAAGTAGCAGAGCATAAATTAATTATGACTTCTGGAGAAATGCACTGCAGCGAGATTTTAAAAAGCCATCAAGTCTGATTTATGGTTTCTTATGTAAATCTCTGTGTTTTGATGCTGTTTGGGACTCGTTAGAGTTAAGGATGTTTGTTGTGAGGGAGACAGTTCTCACAGGTTTTATAGTTTTCCAGATTGATCTTCCAGTTAAAGTTAAATAATTTGACTCTTCAAGATTATGTGTTACAGCAAAAGTCTCTTCTTCTCTGCAATGACTCCTACAATCACACTAGATACTGGATATCTGTATACATATTGCCTCATACAGTCACCAGGCGTTGTGAACAAAACGCCCTGATTGATGCACTCCATCAAAGGGGCCCTGCAATCTGAACAAAACCATGCATGTGACTCTTTAGAAACATTTTAGAACATTTCTCTTCTCAAATCTTATTCTGGAAAGAATTTAAGTCTGACCCTCAAATCTGGTGCGAGATACCGTGTCGCGACCTGATTGCAGGCTGCATGAGCACACACACAGCTGGGTGTAAGAGGTTTGTGAGGTCATGGGGTTAAAGAGAGGTCTTAAAAGGACAGGATGACCTTCTCCATAGATTAATTTTTATTTGAAAGGCCGGGAACATTACAGTTTATCAGTACAACTTTTGTGTTTATTAAAAAATGTAGGTATCACACTTTTCATGACATGGGGGGAGGGCGTGTCATTTTATGAAGGATAAGAGATTCTCATAATAAGGGGCATGGCTGGGCACGTTGTCACTGTTTGTCAGGAGGCTTAAGACCTGCCTCAGCTCCAGCTCTTTGCCTAGAAGGTGGAGGATGAGTGAAAGTAAGTTTGAGACAGCATTTCCAATATGGCAAACGCCATCAATGGGCTTCAAAAGTCAGCTTCAGAAACAATGGTGACGTCACCAAGACTACATCCATTTATATGCAGTCTATGTGTTGTACATCAATTCCCATGTTAATATGCTCCACTCAGTATTGTAGTTCAACCAATGGTCATAATAAAGGCATAAAGAATAAGGATTTAACAATCCTCTTATTATCACTAATAAATAGCTTTTGTGCTACAAGTATCCATTCCAAAAGTGTTTGTGTTAATGGGAAAACATCTCAACATCCTGGAGACAAACAGACCAATAAGAAGAGAGATATGAAGCTCGTAAGCGCTGTCACTGCTGCGACGTTTTATCAGCCCTGATGACGCACTTCTTCGCCCCACTCGCACACTTATTTCACTGAGGTAGT